GGCTGGCCTCAAGTTCACAGAGATCTGCCTGCCTCTGTCTACCAAGTGTGCTTTTAACTTCTTTTGAAACAATTTCTCATTATGTGGCCTGGGCTTATGTCAAGTTTGAGATCTGTCTGTGTCAGCCTCTTGACTGTCGGCATTACAGGCAAGAGCCAACAAACCTGGCTGCAAATGAGTTTTCATTGTTTGAGTTTTAAAGTGTTTATAATGTTGATAGTGTTTGAAGAGGTTTTTGTGGTATGTGTGTGTTTGTGTGTGTGAATTTTGTTTTGTTTGAGACAGGGTCTCTATAGTAACAGCTGGCCTGGAATTCAAAGAGATTTCTCCTGCCTCTGCCTCCTAATTGCTGAGATTACCAGTGTTGTATCACCATGTCTATGTTGAATGGATGCTTTTAAAGTGTGGACATATTCTTCGATATCACTTGGTGATGCTTTTCTTTCATTCAAGGCTTGGAAAGATGCTCCTCATTGAGAAATAAAAGTCAATTAGTTGAACTTAAGATCCTCCTACTTCTACGGCCCAAGTGCGGGGATTACAAGCATGCAGCACCAGGAATGGTTTGTGCAGCACTGGTGATGGAACCCAGGTCAAGCAATGTACCATCTGAGCTACATACAAAACTTCTACTTTTCTTTGATTGTTCTTTTCCAATACAAGTTCTCACTGTGTAGCTGGCCTGGAACTCACTATTTACACCAGCCTAGCTTCAAACCCACAATGATCCACCTGCCTCTTGCCTCCTAAAACATTATAAAACATTTTATGTGTGTGGTTATTTTGCCTGGGTGCCGTGCCTGCAGAAGCCAGAAAAGGGCCAGGGATCCCCTGGAACTGGAGTTACAGACAGTTGTGAGCTGCCATGTGGGTGCTGTGAATTGGGTTCTGGTCTTCCGGAAGAGCAGCCGGTGCTCTAAACTGCGGAGCCATTTCTCAGCTTCCTCCAAGCCCCACATTTGATATTCACTCTTACTCTTGTGGAAATAATCTGTATATAGCAAGAGGGTTGCACTCACATCTCCTTTAAAGTGTTATTTCTCCTGGGGTAACTTAGATAACCCCATCCTTCTCTGCTGCTTGTTTAGTGTTAGTGTTAGTATATACTTCCCACACACACACACTCCATTTATTCTAGCTACTTTTTATAATTGGTATGCTTTTCTTATACTGGACTATAATAATTAAAATTATAACTTTTGTATTTTTAATTTTTTTATTTTTTAGATACTCATAAATTCAGACAGTTGTAAAAGTAGCAAGAAGTGGTCCCATGTTCCCTTTACCCATTGTCTCCAGTGGTCGCATCTTACATTAGTGCAGTATCAACACCAGAAATTGACATTGGTCTAGTGAGTGTAGACATACACCTGTCTATCACACACAGCAGCTCCCTCTGATAGGACATAGGACTCCTCCACCAGGGACCCCTTCCTGATGCCCCTTTGGGTCACACCTGCCTTCCCCTTGTCCTTTTACCCCTAAGGGAGTCATACAGAATGTGAAACTTTTGGGGTTGCCACTTTTTACTCACCATATTTTGGTTTTGTTTTTTAATGGTACTGGAGATGGAACCTGGGGCCTTCAGCATGCTAGGCCACACTGCTCTGTCACTGAGCTACACTCCAGTCCAGAATCAATTATTTTTATTGTTATTATTTTATATATTATCCAAATGGACTCTTAAGATGGCCCACCTCAGATCTATACATTGCCTTTAGTTCACAAGCTACTTATAACAATTCCCTCCTTTTCTTTTTAAAATTTAAAGTATATGTGTATGTTAGATTATGGATTTGTGCATGAATGCAGTGCCCATAGGAGCCAGAGAGGGCTTTCATCTCTTGGAACTTAAATTAAAGACAGTTGTGAGTCACCCAATATGGGTGCTCAGAAATGAACTTACATCTTCTGGAAGAACAGTATGTCATCTCTCCAACTCCTTTTAGTTTTTTTCCCTGAAGAAATTGTGTCATTTGAGGGCATAGAACTTTCAACATTCTAGAACAGGCTGGTTGTAAATTTGTGGTGTGCTAATCTCTTTGTGTATATTTGTGGAATTTTCTATGTAAAAATACCTTAAACGTACAGATTATGTATAACATCACACACCCGGACTACCAGCTGCCACAATGCCCTTTTTTTCTTTTCACAGGGTCTTAGTATGTAGCTCAAGCTCTTGGAATGTATGACCCTCCTGCCTCAGCCTTCTGAGTTCTGGGATTACAGGAGTACTCTATAACTGAGAGTCAAACTTCTAGACTCCACCATTTACCCTTCAATCTGACTATTACTGCTGTATAACAACTAACTCCAAAACTCAGCAGCTCAAACCAACCACTTTCTCACTGTTGTGGGTCAGGAACTCAGGACAGGCTTACCTAAACAGTTACCACTTGGAGCCTCGGGTGGTGGTACAGTGGATGGATTCTGGGCTGTGCCCTCTGAAGACTTATCTGGCCTGCAAGTGCTGCTGGCAGCAACAGGCTGTGAATACTCAAAGGCCAGACCTTATAATTACATGTTCACTCAAAGGTCCATTCCAGGGCTAGCAGGGCACAGACACCAGGATGACTAACTGTGGTCCACCCCAGAGCCTCGGAGCCTCGGAGCCTCACAGTTGGGCAATCATGAGTCAGTTTTGCTTTGTTTTGTGTTTTGCTTGCATGTATGTATGTGTACCACGTGCTTGTCTGGTGTTCACAGAGGTCAGAAGGCATTAGCTCCCCTGAAATTGGAGTTACAAATGGGTGTTGGGAACTGAACCCAAGTCCTCTGGCAAGACCAGCAAGTGTTCTTAACTGCTGAGCCAACTCTCCAGCCCCAAGGTATCATATAGCTCAGGCTGGACTGGAACATTCCATATAATGACAGATTCCCTTGAACTCGGGCCTCTGCCTCTTGCTAAGATGCATCTGCTCCTGCACCTGCTTTTATATAGTGCTGGTGAAGAAAACCAGGCCTTTGTGCTTTGTGCATGGTAGACACTCTACCAACTGAACTATGTCCTTAGTCCTTCCCCATCTGAAAACACAAGGTTTCACTATATTACCCAAGTTGGGCTTCCATGATCCTCCTGCCTCACTCTCCTGAGTAGCTGGCACTACAACCCCATGCCAAACCTGTTCGAAGTTTTACGATCATTTCCAAATGGACATGACATCTCATGCCTATAATCCCAGGACTTGGGGAGCTGAAGCAAAAAGGCTGTGGTGAGTTCAAGGCATTTCATATAAAGAAGTCATAATGTATATGGACGTTTATATCTGACATCAGGTTTTGAGGTCCCTCCAGGGTTGCATGTGTGAGTGGCTTCTTCCTCGTTACTGCTGAACTTGCTCCATCATCTTTTCTTGACACCGTCCTCACTGGGGTTTCTCTTCATGTCCACCTGCTTTTCCTTCAGAAGTGACGATTATGTGACAGGTGTCACTGGTGGCTTTCAAATGGGTAGTTCCTTGCTGGCAAAGGTCTTGTCTATTCTGATACCTTAATACTCCTCTGGCATTTCATAATTTGTAGAGACGAACCCATCTTAGAGAGGCTGGGCTGGTAAAGCCTACCTCAGAAAAATTTCCTTGCCAATAGCAAAGCAAGGTCCAAAATCTCTTAAGAATCAGTGAAATCTTGTGTGTCTGTGATACCTGCAGCCTTCCAGATACCTTGACACTGTGAAGGAAGACATTCCTGACACTGAAGGTGGCACCATGGAACATGAAGAGTCCTTGATGCCATGCTGCTGAGTAAACACGGTAGATGCCGTCTCTGACCCTTCTTTGGTCAGACATCAAACCACTTAGTTATAAAAATCTTGTTTAGTTGACCTTTCTGTACTTAGCTAAAAGCACCCTGAGGGACAAATATCATATAAACCTCCACCCTAAACATACCCCTTTGCTGTAACCCTTCTTTCCTCAAATGAAGGGGTTCCTAAGTTTCAAGACCAGACCTCTTTGAATCCCAGCACCTTAATTTCAAACTGCCCCCCACCCCCCCACCCCCCCACCCCCTCTGTATAGCATTTGTAGGTCCCAGGGGGCCTCAGTCTGAGCCGCCAAGCACTGCTCCTGCCCATGCCAGGTGAGTCCTCTCTCATCTGACACATTACCCAGCCCTATCTTCCCCTGCATCTCATCAGAGTGTAGGCTCTACACTTTCTACCTCATCTTTCTGAATGTCTACTTCGGCTGCTTCTCTGGTTCCCAGATTACAGCAATGAGCATGAGGTAGGTCCCCTCGGGGTTCTGTCTGTCATACTGGCCTCCCTTCTGGAAGCAAAAAGACCTTTCCGATGCACACAGCTCCTAATACCGTTCTTGTCTTAAATACTTAATTCTCTCTCCAACAATCTGGATGATATAATGATGGAAGATCTGTATTTGGGCTTTGTCCTGGTTTTGTGGTCTCATCTCCAACAATTCCACACTGAAGGTGTGGCCACATTGGGCTGGTCTAAAATGAATAAACACACCAAACTGCCTGCCTCATGGAAAAGTGAAATTGGCAGCAAACTGTCACTTCCTGGTATCTGCCAAATGATATGCTTGGGTTTGTATGAGAAGAAACACTTTTGTCCCATCCATGATCCTTTCTTCCTCGGAAGCCCTCCCACCTTTGTGCCAGGCTGCTGAAGACCAAACCCTCCTCAGGAGTCACACTCCAGCCTGGACAATCACCCAACGTTCTGTTCCAAGCTGTAACATGTCGAAGGAATCACCGTGGAACCAGAGGTCACCCAACCCTCCTGGGGGACAATGTATGAATCACTCAATAAGTTTCTTCTTAATTTTTTTTCCTTCTGAAACGGTCTCCGTATATACAGGATGCCCTTGAAATCCCTGCTATAACCTAGAATGGACTCAAGCTAACAAGCCTACCTGTACTCTTGTTTATCTCACTGCACCAAGAATCCTGCATATTTACCTCCTGTGTCATTAGAGTCTTAGGAATGGGCCCCATCCCAGATGCCTTGACGTGGCAGGTCTCCTCGGGTCTCCTACCTTCAGAGGAAGAGGAAGGCTTTGAGTGCTTGGCTATCCCTGCCCCGAATAGCAGGTTTTCGGCAGGCTGATTCAAGGCTTCCTTGTCAGGCTGCTTGGTCTCCATTACTTTGTCCTTAGACTTTGCAACAAAATTGGTAGGGCTCTTCTTTGGCTCCTCAACTGAAACACACGGATAATCAGTTAGACCTACAACCCAAGGATGCTTGCTCGGAGGGCGGGCCTCGCCACCAGGCGGAGCCCTTTACCTTTCTTCTCTCTGGGTTTGCTTCTGGACAGGCCCATAGGTGACCCTGCCGCTCCAGCCGGGCGGCCTTGGGGGCCCAGTAACCCTAGCGACTCACAAAACCAACACCCCGCTTTGGGAGCTCATTGCCATGGCAACCGCGTGCCGCGCGAGACGTACCGAAGCCCCACCCAAGGCCCAGCTCCGCCTTCTCGCGAGAGTAAGCCGCGCGACCGGAAACATTAGCGACCCCGGAAGTCCTCCCGGGCACAGCTGGTCCGTAAGATCTCGTCCCCTTCGCCGCCCCGAGGGGTGCACTACTCGATTGGCCATGGACGGTAAGGGGCCGTCACCTACTTTGGGTTCGGAGCGGGAATCTGCGGACACTCTGGCCTCAGCCCCTTAACCCAGCCGGACCTGTCCCGGGTCTGAGGCCCAGACCCCGCCCCTGGGCCTTGAACCCACTTGTCTCGACCCTTCATCCCGACCAGGACCCGCCTCTTAGCTCAGCTCCAGACACCGGCTAGGACCGGCCCTCGTGCCTGCACCACACGTACCGAGCAGAACCGGTCCCGGTTCCTGAACCTTTCCATCTTAGCTGAAACCCTCTCCTGGGCTTCGATCCCACAGTCCACCAGGAACTACCTCCCGGTTCTTGACTCCAGACCCCAGCCAGAACCTACCCCAGGGTCTTGTTCCTTACCCAGATCTCCCCAGGCATGGACCCCAAACCCAGCACCGAGCCCCTGAATTCTGTTCAGATGACCTCAGATCCAGGCCCTTCTAGCCACCCTCCCTGTTTTGTTTTGTTCCTGCCTTGGGGACCCTGGGATGTTGTCAGAAGGCACCAGAAAAGGTGGTAGTTGCACCCTTGAATAGCACCCAGAGAAGTAGGAATGATTCAGATACAAAGGACTTAAAGTGCCAAGTAATAGGGTGTGGGTTCCCTCCTTAGAGCCACATGTTCTATCTCCCTTACCCTTATAATACATTGGGAGAGAGCCACCCCTAGTGATAGGACTCACTTCCGCCTGCCAGCGTTCGGATCTCTAGACTCTCAGAGAACTCATGAGTGGACAGTGCAGGTCTTATGGGCTGCTGTAATAGAGTTTTCGTTTGTATGAGACAGGGTCTCCCTCTGTAGCCTTGGCTTGCCTGGAAATTACTACATATACCAGACTGGCCTTGAACTCAGATATTTGCCTATTTCTGCTTCCCCAGTGCTGGGATTGAAGGTATGCACAGCTGTAATGGAGTTTTTAAAAACTGTTTTCAGAAATGTAGAAAGCTGTGTCATTGTCATGGAGGAAATACATAACAATCCTATCCTGCGTTCCTTGGACAGATGTAGCACCCCAGTGTCTCGACAATAAAGAATTTTTGTATCACAGTTTACTCTGCTCGTGTGAGGGAACTTTACTGAAGCTCACATCAGGTTTCTCCAGCTTTTTATTTCTCAGAGTCCAGTCCCGCTAGAGTCTACAGGAAAAAGCAGGTTGAGAAGGGAGAGATTCGGCCAGTGTCCTGAAGCTAGTGAGATGACTGTGCCACACCTGGGAGTCAGCTGTGGTAGCTCTGGCCATAACTAGTGCCTGCACTGAGTGGTGGTAGATGGGTAGGCGCACAGAGTTCCCTGTACCTCAGCAGGCCTCTGCTGGGCCTTGTTCTGCATTTGCAGAGCATCAGTGCCTCATTCTGGACTGGTAGGGTGAGCCTTTTCAGGAATCAAATAGCACAGCACTCTGCAGCTTTAAAGACAGAGCCAGTTGCCTGATGTGTGGCTCACAGCTGCAATGCCAGCTCATAGCAGTTGGGAGAGAAGGATCAGGAGGTCACAGTGTCCCCATCCTTAGCTACCTAGGGAGTTTTTAAAACAGGTGAAATCCTGTCTGGAAACATCAAAAACAAATAAACATGAAATTGTGTTTACCTGTCTCAAGTTTGTGAATGAATAGCAGGTTTAGTTAGCAATCATTTGTTTTTAAAATACATTTAAATTCCTTCCTTGGCTTAGTACAGGTAGGGACAGTGCACTGGGCCTGATGCTGTGGCTTAGAAATGGTGTCTGCCATGGAGTAGGAAACTCTTTTAACCAAGGCTTGCCATCTTCCAGTTGTATCTACTCACCTCTGGCAGGGTAAAGGAAAGGATATGCAAAACCAACGTTTGGGGCTGGAGAGATGGCTCAGTGGTTAAGATCACTGGCTGTCCTTCCAGAGGACCCAAGTTCAAGTCCCAGCAACCACATGGCAGTTCACAACTGTCTGTAACTCCAGTTCCAGGAGACCTGTCACCTTCACACCAGTGCACATAAAATAAAGGTTTTTTTTTTTTTTTTTTTAAAAAAAAAGAACCAATAAAGGCATTTAAAAAACTGTTAAGTACTAAAGATTAAGTTAAGTACTAAAGGCAAAGAATCCCATGTGTGTTTTGTAAAGTTGAATGGATTGTAAACCACCATCTCCATTCTGGCCATGGCCAAGAACTGCATGCTTTACCCTTTGAGATTGACTGGTACCATTCTATTTTATTTATTTATTTATTTATTTATTTATTTATTTATTTTTTTGAGATAGGGTTTCTCTATGGCTTTGGAGGCTGTCCTGGAACTAGCTCTTGTAGCCCGGGCTGGTCTCAGACTCAAAGAGACCCCCCTGCCTCTGCCTCCCGAGTGATGGTACTAAAGGCATGTGCCACCCACCCTCCCCCCCAGCAACTGGTACAATTCTTGTGTTCCTGACTAACAAGTTTAGCAAGGGTCTTTGTGATTTGGATCCCTTGTCTAACGTGGATCTATCTTCTAACACCATTGTTGGGCCTCCCAAATGCCCCAGGCAAATCCCATCCATGTCTGTCTCCTGTGGGCCAGCTCCTAGCATCTGCCTGCTTGATAGATGTGCTACTTGTTACATTTTAAAAAAAAAAAAAAAATTTTTTTTAAGCTGTTTCCTCTTTCTTTGCAGATACGCTGTTCCAGTTGAAGGTTTGTGCAAAACCACCCACCATTCCCCAGTCCTGTCCTGGCAACTAGCAAATAAGGGCAAGAATTACAGTGGCGCTTGGAACCCAGACACCCAAAGTCATGGGCAAATTATCGTAGTTGAATGACTGCCACACAGGGCTCAGACTGCTGACCAAAGACAGGCTTATTCTTTGTTTTTGGCTAAGTAGAAATAGATCACTCAGACTTGTCTGTGAAGACTGAGTGTATTATCTCTAAGAAACACAACTGGGGTTATAGGCACATGCCTTGATGTTTTACTGAGCATTTAAAACCACTGGCTGAAATGTAAACACACTTGGAGAATCTTATGGGCAACGGAATGTGCCTCCTCCTGGGGAGATACTTGTAACTATCAAAGCTTGGCATGTTTCTGCCACTTTTAATGCCTTACAAGTAACAATCGGAGTTAACTTGATCTTGTTTCTTTCTCCCTGACTCCAAGGGTCTGGGCAGGAGTGAGGTTACAAGCTGCTGAACATGGCTGTGACATAGTCTGTGTCACACTGAGGCTATCGGGTGGTGGCACATGGGCAAAGAAGTGAGGAAGCTGTATCTGCAGGATTCTCTAAAGATAGCACTCAAGGGTCACTGCTTGAGTACTATTGTGTGTCTTTCCTGTGAGTTCTAAGTCTTTCATAAGCAGGAGCAGAGTTGGTGAGAGTTGCTTTGTCGGCCTTCCACTCTAGAGGAGGATATGGGTTGGAGTGTTGTTTGAGGTGATGGGCATTTTAGGAAACCGCCTTGCACACAGGGCCTCAGAACTGATGAATTGCAACTGATGCTGTTGCAGTTTTCACACAGTAGTATCAGGACTTATATTTTGAGGCTTTGTGCCTTGTCACAGGGTTGGGTGAAGGATATGCAGAGGCAGGAGGTACAGGAAATAGGCTGGGCCTCTAGGTACCTCTAGAGGGTGGGCTCCACCTGTGTGTCTCAAGAGTGTTTACGGTTTCTACTCAGTTCACAGCAAAGCAGCTAGAGAAACTAGCGAAGAAGGCAGAGAAGGACTCCAAGGCTGAGCAGGCCAAAGTAAAGAAGGTATGTAACGTCTCTGGTTTGAATTCTTTCCCCCCCCCCATTCCCTTTATTTTATTTTACTTCATTTATGTTATTTTTGAGATTGAGTACTGCAGACAAGGTTGACCTGGAACTCATTGTGTGGCCCAGGCTAACCTCAAACTTGAGATGACCCTACTTGAGCCTCACGGATGGTGGGATTACAGTGGGAACCACCACACCCAGCTTTGTTTCCCTCTGTGTTGCTGTAACGTCTTCTTTTTGTGCAAGACACTTCCTACATTGTGATTTAACCTCATTGATTTCAGAGTATTGACGCATTTGCTTTTATACCTGAGACGGGCGAGCATGAGGGAAGGGCAGTAGTCCTCCTCCTTCCCTCCCTGCCCACAGTGGTGTCCAGAGCAGAACAGTTGCATGGCCTTCACTCCTTCCTTATTCCTCCAACATTGTCAGTTGGCAAGGAGTGACCTTCTAACTGTCCCTGCTCCAGTGTCATCATTTTCAACTGACTTTCTTATGGGGCTGCCGCCTAGAGTATCAGGATCTGGGCAGAGGTGGAAGCTTGCTGGGGTTTTTGCAGGAAAGGATCCTCTGCCTAAAGATAGACAGAGCAGAAGGTGGAAGTAGCATGACTGGCCTCAGTGGTCCTTCAGCTCAATCTTGTGCACCTATTTAGTGTTGCTTCAAGGCAGAGTAGTTCCAAGGCTGTGGCTATTGGTAATGACACTGTGTTTTTACAAAGCTCACACATGTCTGAGGATTGTACCTGGGGAAAACTGAAAGCCTCCTACCCTTCCCAGTGGTAAACCATACCTTGGAGAGATACACAAACTTGCCTGCAAACATTTCTCCATCAACATTTACCTATGAATCTTAGGCCCTTCAGCAGAAAAATGTGGAATGTGCCCGTGTGTATGCTGAAAATGCCATCCGCAAGAAGAATGAAGGTGTAAACTGGCTCCGGATGGCATCCCGTGTGGATGCAGTAGCCTCCAAGGTGCAAACAGCTGTGACCATGAAGGGGGTAAGTGCGAGACCATGGTGCCATGTGGCCAGCATACGTTTTAGGGTATAGTGAGTAGAGGGAAGCTTGGACCAGCAAGGAACCAAAGCATCAAAGAGTACTGGACACAGGAAGG